TAGAAATGTGAATAGCTAAGTGATATTAATAAGAATAGGAAAATTAGTTTTAAATAAATTAATTTTTATAGTTTTTTTTAAACTAATTTTTTTTAATATAATTGTATATATGCTATAAATGACATGGATGGATTAAACCATATTTTTAACAGTAATGACAATTGAACATTTATTTCGTAGTAAAATTAAATATTTAAAGTGAGACCATATGATTAGTATCACTCAAATTTAACCAAAAACATTAATGAATCCACTAAAACGATATTATGTTGAGTTATTGTATCTCCATAATTTCAACTTGTATTTTTATCAATTTTTATATTCTGGAATGTATAATTTAGAAAAAGGTTTTTATATTTTAAAATATATAAAATAAAGAATATATTTCAAATAATATAATCTAAAATATAAATATATTTGAGATTATATAATTCCAAAATACAACTTTTATATTCTAGATTATATATTTCTAAACACAAAATAAAATATGGTTTTCAGGGTGTACAATACAAAATTTCAAAATATAAAAAATCACAATGAGTATAGGTTAAAATTATAGAGGTGCAGAAAGAAATTGTTATTCTTGTATTTTTTTTAATGTCAAATTCAATCCAACCCAATCATTTTGAATGAGATTGTTTTGTGTTAGGTCAATTACATCACATTTTTTGAAAAGTTTTTTTTTGTTAATTTAAAGTAAAATAATATATTTGTCCAAATTAATTCAAGAAGTAAAAAAAAAAAAAAAACAAATTTGTTTATAAGATGTCTTGGAATTCAAACAAGTTTAAGTCTCACATTAAGTAAATAGGAGAAAGTTGAACAAAATACAAGGATGAAGATTCATAAATCTATTACCTTAAGGTTATGGGTTGAAAATAATTTTAATTTCTTGTGGATTTGACTCAGGTTATGTTAATATTGTATCTTTTTCGTGAACCTTTAATTAAACTTAGATTGGATCTTAGTCATTCATGCTAAACCCGTATACAAAATTATATGAGCTAAATTAAAACTTTTCCTAGAATTTTTTTTAAGATGTAATTGAATATGTTTAGCTAAGATGATATTTATTTCAAATCATGATTTTTTATGCTTAAGAATTTAATTTACGAAAATGACTTGATAAGTTAGTGAATTGATTCACTTAAAGAATGTTTTTTTCTTTCAAAATCATTTTATATATTTATTATAATACAATAATGGGTTAACTTAATCTATTATTTTATAACACTACAATCACAGTGACAATCAAAGTGATTACATATTTCACAAAGCATTATTATAACAATACGAATTCAAACTAAATTTACATAATTTGAAAAAAGAAAATTAAATATCTAAACCATTTAAACATTATTACACAATATTTTAATATTTAAAAAATCAAATTGTCAATCTAAACAATTAAAAGTAATAATTATAATAAAAAACTTATAAAAAAATAAAAATAAATAATTATGGTTGATGGATTACAAAACAATTTATCTTCAATTTGGTTCGAATTCATATAACCTGCAGTGTTTCAAGTTCAAATTTATTGATATTTAATAAAATTTATTTTTTTAACTCGACTTAAAATGATTGAACAATTCACAGGTTAAAATTTATTTTAACTATAGTCAATTCACTAAAGTTAATAAATAGTAAATAGTAATAGTAAATATAATACATTTAAATATTTGATCTTGAGTCAAATTTTGGGAAACCTATTTATACTCAATAAAAGTTAAATTAATAAATATTTAATGGTGACAGAAATTAAAAGACATAAAGCCAATAAAAATGTTTAAAAAATAGTAAAAGTAGCATGTCTTACATTTAAAAACTAATTTAATTCTAAGAACTAAATCAATTGACTTTCTTATAAAATAAATTATTATTTTGTCAAAATTATTTTATATATATTTATGTTTCATAACAAAAAATAATTAATTATATTTTTATCTTTTAGATATTCTAATGATACGATTTAATATCAGTTTTTAACTATATCAGTTTAATATGTGTGGTTTTAATTTTTAAACGTTATAATTGCCTGTTACTTAAATATTGTAAATCTATAATATTTTTATTTACGTGATAGAAAACGACTAAACGTGTTCTTCTATTTCCTAGGATACCCCAGTCTAAACATTCCCTTAATCTTGTTTTTGTCCTGTTTAATCGACTTGTTTAGTTGTTAATGCAGCCGCCATGACCGTGAAATCAATCTCACAGCACAGAATATGTTGTTCAAAGATTCTGTGTCATTGATTCCAAAATGTTTTCCTGTTCCTTCCTGATTATTCCACCTCTCAGCTCTATAAGTACACGCCATGTGCATAGTTCAATACACGTTCCCTGTTTTCCCTAGTCTGAGCTCACTACTAGATAATCACCAGTGTCTGTGTTGGAGTTCCCTGAATCCTTCCTTAATTTGAACATCATCGTAGATTTTTGTTAACGTGAGATGGATTCAGGTTTGCTGCGATCAGAAGGTGGAGTCGTGTCCCAAATGCCCACGAATTTCGTTTGGCCAAAGGAGTATTTGGTGGATGCCCAAGGCGAGCTCCAAGCACCAGTGGTGGATCTTGATGGGTTTCTGAGAGGGGACGAAGAGGCCACACAATGTGCTGCAAAGCTCATAATGGAAGCGTGCTTGAACCATGGCTTTTTCCAAGTGATCAACCATGGGGTTGATTCATGCCTCATTCGTGAAGCACATCATCAAATGGACACTTTCTTTAAGCTCCCAATTCACAGGAAGTTGAGTGTTCACAAGACACCAGCTTCCATGTGGGGCTACTCTGGTGCACATGCTCATCGCTTCTCCTCCAAATTGCCATGGAAGGAAACCCTCTCTTTTCCCTACCATGACAACACCTCCGAACATGTTGTAACCAACTACTTTAAATCCACCATTGGAGAAGACTTTGAACAAGCTGGGTAAGATATAAACATCATGTTTTTTTCTTCTTTTCTATATATATCTCTTTCTTTGGAGACATTATAAAATGTGGTGTCACGTTCCCAGAGTGATATTCCAGAAGTACTGCGATGGTATGAAGCAGTTGGGGTTGAAGCTGACGGAGCTATTGGCCATAAGCTTAGGCGTGGATAGGTTGCATTTCAGGGAGTTGTTCTCCGATGGATGCTCCATCATGAGATGCAACAACTACCCATCTTGCCAACAACCGAACCTTACGTTGGGGACAGGACCACATTGTGATCCAACATCAATAACCATACTTCACCAAGATCTTGTTGGGGGACTTGATGTTTTTATGGACAACCAGTGGAAGACGGTTCCACCTCGTCTCGATGCCCTTGTAATCAACATTGGAGACACCTTCATGGTAGGCCATATAAACACTACCACATTCCATTATATTATTACTACCTTCGAGTTTGTTCTTTTCAACACCATTCATTAACCCTATAATATTTCTGTTTATCTCTTACCTTTTCCTTTAATCCTATTTCCTGTCATCACCCTGCAACGACTCATTTACTTGNACTCAGGTTATGTTAATATTGTATCTTTTTCGTGAACCTTTAATTAAACTTAGATTGGATCTTAGTCATTCATGCTAAACCCGTATACAAAATTATATGAGCTAAATTAAAACTTTTCCTAGAATTTTTTTTAAGATGTAATTGAATATGTTTAGCTAAGATGATATTTATTTCAAATCATGATTTTTTATGCTTAAGAATTTAATTTACGAAAATGACTTGATAAGTTAGTGAATTGATTCACTTAAAGAATGTTTTTTTCTTTCAAAATCATTTTATATATTTATTATAATACAATAATGGGTTAACTTAATCTATTATTTTATAACACTACAATCACAGTGACAATCAAAGTGATTACATATTTCACAAAGCATTATTATAACAATACGAATTCAAACTAAATTTACATAATTTGAAAAAAGAAAATTAAATATCTAAACCATTTAAACATTATTACACAATATTTTAATATTTAAAAAATCAAATTGTCAATCTAAACAATTAAAAGTAATAATTATAATAAAAAACTTATAAAAAAATAAAAATAAATAATTATGGTTGATGGATTACAAAACAATTTATCTTCAATTTGGTTCGAATTCATATAACCTGCAGTGTTTCAAGTTCAAATTTATTGATATTTAATAAAATTTATTTTTTTAACTCGACTTAAAATGATTGAACAATTCACAGGTTAAAATTTATTTTAACTATAGTCAATTCACTAAAGTTAATAAATAGTAAATAGTAATAGTAAATATAATACATTTAAATATTTGATCTTGAGTCAAATTTTGGGAAACCTATTTATACTCAATAAAAGTTAAATTAATAAATATTTAATGGTGACAGAAATTAAAAGACACAAAGCCAATAAAAATGTTTAAAAAATAGTAAAAGTAGCATGTCTTACATTTAAAAACTAATTTAATTCTAAGAACTAAATCAATTGACTTTCTTATAAAATAAATTATTATTTTGTCAAAATTATTTTATATATATTTATGTTTCATAACAAAAAATAATTAATTATATTTTTATCTTTTAGATATTCTAATGATACGATTTAATATCAGTTTTTAACTATATCAGTTTAATATGTGTGGTTTTAATTTTTAAACGTTATAATTGCCTGTTACTTAAATATTGTAAATCTATAATAGTTTTATTTACGTGATAGAAAACGACTAAACGTGTTCTTCTATTTCCTAGGATACCCCAGTCTAAACATTCCCTTAATCTTGTTTTTGTCCTGTTTAATCGACTTGTTTAGTTGTTAATGCAGCCGCCATGACCGTGAAATCAATCTCACAGCACAGAATATGTTGTTCAAAGATTCTGTGTCATTGATTCCAAAATGTTTTCCTGTTCCTTCCTGATTATTCCACCTCTCAGCTCTATAAGTACACGCCATGTGCATAGTTCAATACACGTTCCCTGTTTTCCCTAGTCTGAGCTCACTACTAGATAATCACCAGTGTCTGTGTTGGAGTTCCCTGAATCCTTCCTTAATTTGAACATCATCGTAGATTTTTGTTAACGTGAGATGGATTCAGGTTTGCTGCGATCAGAAGGTGGAGTCGTGTCCCAAATGCCCACGAATTTCGTTTGGCCAAAGGAGTATTTGGTGGATGCCCAAGGCGAGCTCCAAGCACCAGTGGTGGATCTTGATGGGTTTCTGAGAGGGGACGAAGAGGCCACACAATGTGCTGCAAAGCTCATAATGGAAGCGTGCTTGAACCATGGCTTTTTCCAAGTGATCAACCATGGGGTTGATTCATGCCTCATTCGTGAAGCACATCATCAAATGGACACTTTCTTTAAGCTCCCAATTCACAGGAAGTTGAGTGTTCACAAGACACCAGCTTCCATGTGGGGCTACTCTGGTGCACATGCTCATCGCTTCTCCTCCAAATTGCCATGGAAGGAAACCCTCTCTTTTCCCTACCATGACAACACCTCCGAACATGTTGTAACCAACTACTTTAAATCCACCATTGGAGAAGACTTTGAACAAGCTGGGTAAGATATAAACATCATGTTTTTTTCTTCTTTTCTATATATATCTCTTTCTTTGGAGACATTATAAAATGTGGTGTCACGTTCCCAGAGTGATATTCCAGAAGTACTGCGATGGTATGAAGCAGTTGGGGTTGAAGCTGACGGAGCTATTGGCCATAAGCTTAGGCGTGGATAGGTTGCATTTCAGGGAGTTGTTCTCCGATGGATGCTCCATCATGAGATGCAACAACTACCCATCTTGCCAACAACCGAACCTTACGTTGGGGACAGGACCACATTGTGATCCAACATCAATAACCATACTTCACCAAGATCTTGTTGGGGGACTTGATGTTTTTATGGACAACCAGTGGAAGACGGTTCCACCTCGTCTCGATGCCCTTGTAATCAACATTGGAGACACCTTCATGGTAGGCCATATAAACACTACCACATTCCATTATATTATTACTACCTTCGAGTTTGTTCTTTTCAACACCATTCATTAACCCTATAATATTTCTGTTTATCTCTTACCTTTTCCTTTAATCCTATTTCCTGTCATCACCCTGCAACGACTCATTTACTTGGAGTTATGTGGAGTTGTAAGTATCCAAATAATTTAAGTTGCAGGGAAATATATATAGGCTGGACATAATCATATATAATTTTTTTAATCAAATTTTATATTATTATGTAAGATATTTTACTTTTGGCTCTTCATTATATTAAAAAGGTTAAAAGAAAAAAACTTTGGAGAACTACTGCTTCGACATATGGATCGGTCCGAGAGTAAATGGAGTATATTTATGAGAATTGAATATGAAAGGCCTGTGCATTTAGAATTTTTGTTAGCATAAGTATGTATATTGATAAGGTTTACCGAGATGATTTGTGGGTATGATAATGAAAAGAGGTGATGATATATTTATGATTGGAAAGGAAGCATGCATGGTGTAGAGTGAGGAATGATATGTTGTTGGTTGTGCAGGCGTTATCAAATGGGAGATACAAAAGTTGTGTGCATAGGGCAGTGGTTAACAAGTACAAGGAGAGGAAGTCGTTGGCGTTCTTTCTGTGCCCTAAAGAAGACAAGGTGTTGAGAGCCCCAGATGAAGTTATTGAGATGGATGGGACGAAGCAATATCCCGATTTTACATGGTCAGATTTACTTCATTTCACGCAAAACCACTACAGAGCAGACCAAGCTACTCTGCCAAATTTCTTCAACTGGTTCCTATCTTCCAAAACCACAGACTAGCTTTTCGCTAACCTACAAATCCATTCTGTTCTACTACTTTTTCTTTTTCAACCACCTTCTTCAACACAATCTCCCTTCTAAATTCTCCCTCTACTTTTCCCACCTACTCTCCAAAACTTTTCTACCATCCATCTCTCTTCCACTTTGCTTATCCACTCGCCTTAATCTTTCGTCTACTACCTTTTTCTGCACCTTCCTATTCGCTCCATCTTAAATAAATCTGTAATATATGGATATTAATATTGTTTACATTATTATTTTTATCATCAATCTTTTTTTAATATTGTTATATTTAAGCTTTCTTTTACCAGTAACCCATTACTGCTTTCTGTCATTTCATTTTAATATTGTTTACATTAGGCTTTGTTGAGAGTAATTTTCTCGTGGAAAGAAAAGCGAATATTTTCTCTATTCTTATCCCATGATTTGTAAAAAAGAGAAGTTGTTTGAAAAGAATCTTTCAATCCATGTTACAAAATGTAAAAAATATGAGATAAAAACTATGCAAAACTATATAAAAGAAGGAAATTACAGTATAACCCTTATTTAATTCAATCTACTTTATATATAAACTAGCATAATCGATTATATATAACACAATCAATTATGTATAAAAGTTATTATAGTATAATATATAATAACTGTTAAGACATAATATATATATGTAGTAAATTTATATAGTAATAAATTGAAAATATTAATACTAAAAAAATAGTGATATAATTAATATAAATTCATGAAATAATAATAATATTTACTATTATTATAGTTTTATATTATTTTATTATAAGGTTGAATGCTTGATAATGATTATGTGTTGAATTTTTACACAAAATTCGCATATTAAACATCTTATAAGAAGATTAAATATTAATAAATGATTTAAAAGTAACAGTAGATGAAACAATTAATTTGATAAAGAATAAAGTTTGTTAAAATAAAGTTTAATACTTAACTTTGATGTGATATTAAAAAAATGATTTTAAATTTAAGTTAACTTTACCGAATTAATTTATAAAATAAAATTTATAAATTATAAGTGGTACTTCTTATAAAAAGTTATGGTGAATGTAGGAATGCTGTCGGCCAAAACATGACCCAAAGCAGAAAAGCAAATGTGGAATACTCTCTACACGACAGGGTTGTTCATTGTCATCTTTTACAAAGTTGTTTATTTCAATCGCTGCCCTGTAAGTGATAAATGTTTGGCCCATGATGTCTTTGAAAGGAAACTATATAGCACAATCCCAGTGAAGCAGTTCCAAATCCATTGGGTAAGAAGCAGTAAGAGTTTAAAGTGGAGATAAAAAAGTTACTTTGAAGCAGATATATCATATCAGTGTACGTATAGAAGTGATTTCGAGCCTATTTTGGCGTGAGAACTGTATTCCATTATACGCCAAAAAGAGTTTGTCACCAATCTGAAACACAAACTGCAAGCAGACACTTTGCTGCCATTCTCAAACCTTTTTCCGTACTTTTTACCTTTTTATTTATGAACTGAAAGAATAACGGGACGGGGTGATTGATTGAAACATCAATGGATTACGTACAGAGATGACAGATTCTTCTAAACACCTTGCTACTCTATTCCACATTTTCTCTCTATCTACCCAGCAACTATAGCAAAATAGGAACCCTTATAAGTGATACAATATTATCAAACATTTTTTTCCAATGCAACGATACACTATGAAAAACATGTGTCTAACTTTAATTGCTTCAAAATAAAAAATACACCTCTTACATAAAATCAAGGACTGCTTCTCCAAAAAAATAAAATCAAAGATCGTTTTGCCTTGATAAAGTGTTTTCTTTTATCATATATTCAAATTCGTAAAGATAGTAACTTTCTTTTTTTATTAGAGGGTCAAATATGTATCAAGTAAAAATTCTAAGGTCACTTTGAGTCTTTAATTTTTAACAATATATATATAACAACATTATGCTTGTTGATCTAAATATTATTATCTCATTGGTTGAATGTTTTATTAGTTAAATTCAACACTTCATTTACCTTTCAAACTTCCCTGTATTTGATATAACTAAATGGTAGTTCATTAGTAATAATACATTTAGCAATTACATCTGATATGTCTTAAGCTAAATGATCTAACCCATTAGCTTGCGAGTTTCAACCTTAACCTATATAGACATTTTAGTAAAAAAGAGTTAGACTAGAAAAATCTATTTATATTTTGGTTGCTTTTTTTAACCTAAATCACAACCCATATTTTCCAGCTTTATCTATATCGAAAGTAAAGATCATGAAATATCGTAAAATATGCTTATTCTTTGCCAATTTTTACGTCCTGTCTTTCTTTTTTTTATCACATCTCATTTCTTATATTATTACTTCACGCATAAAAGTTCTATCTATTTTATATGCATTTTATACTTTAATTGATACATTTAGGCCTTGTTCACTTGAGTGGATTTGAGGGAGAGTAATTGAGGGAATTTGAGAGGATTTGAAAATAAATTTTTTTGTTGATTATTTGAGTGAATTTGGAGATAAATGAGATTGAATTTGGAAGTAAATTTTTTTAATATGTCACGTCAATCAAATCCTACACTAATTCTCACAAACTTTACTTTCAAATTCATTCTCACTTACCTTCAAATTGACTCAAATAAACAACAAAAAAATTTATTTTCAAATCCTTTCAAATCCCCTCAATTACTCTCCCTCAAATCTACTCAAGTGAACAACGCCTTAGTTATTTATTTTTATTAAATATTTTGTTACCTACTTTAAGTTTGTCTTTAAAAGTGAGAAATATAAGTTGATTTATGTTGGAATAATTTTCTTCTTCTTATGTCTTTCTTCCGTCTCCCCAAAAGCTTTAACTTTTTTACAAGGCAAACAATAAATCTAAGCAATTGTGTACATGAACAGCAAGTTTGTCGGTAACGATATACATCTCACATTCACGTAAAAAAAATCCTCAGGAAATAATTGAAGAATTTTATAAGGTATATTAACTTATTTTATAAATTTCATTATCTTATTTATGATTATATGATAAGAAGATAAAAATAAATATTTAAATATAAACTTAATTTAGTTTAAACTTTCTGAAAAATTTAAATATTTTTCATTGTCCTTATTAAAATTTTTCGATTTATTGACTACTCAATTTTTATAAATAGTTACTATGATGAAATGATTATTATTTTGCATGTTTAATACTTACATTTCTCCATGTGAAAAATAAATAAATTTGTAACTTAGTTAAGTTTTATATTCATCATAAATTTGAGTATTTTCAATTGAATTGAGTCACCGTGAAGTGAAATTATCATACCATTTTATAGAAATCAAGAAGAAGGTCAAAAAATTAAACAATAAAATAAATAAAAGTTAAATATATTTTTAGTATCTGAATTTTGACACAAAATTAAAATTTATTTATCTTTTGAAATTTTAATATATTTTGATGCTTAAACTTTAAAAATGAATAAATAAAGTCATTTTAATATAATTACATTAATTTTTATGTGTCCAACACGTTCTTCGATTAACATTGAAATGATAATGTGTAAACGTTATAAATAACTCAAATGTTAATATGAAATATACATTTGAGATATAATTTTTTTAACATGATTAGATTAAAAAGACTATGTTGATTCATTTTTAAAATTTAAAGATAAAAATGTATTAAAATTTTAAAAAAAGACTTTCAAATTCACATAAAAATTCATGGATTAAAAACATATCTAACTCAATAAATAATGTTAAAAAATCCTAATTATCTTTATTAAGTATTATTATTTTGTGTCTTTATACGGTTTATTTGATTTTTGTTTTAATATTTAATTTATAAAACAAAATAATGTCCTTCCTTTTTAAAAAAAGATAATAAAGATTTAAAACCTTCATTTTTCTTATGGTTTAAGTTTGTGGTGTTTTATTTTTGACTACATAATCGAACGACCATATAATTTCTTAATGACTAAAACCTAATTGAAAAATATTTAAATACTTAATAAAAACATATTTTTAATAAGATTTCAATTAAAGATATTCAAATTTTTAGGAAATTAAAACTTAACTATTTATTTTCATTAGACACATAGATAATATAATGATGTAAAATAATAATGACATCACCTTAATTAATTGTAATATTAAACAAGAGATACTTAATTAGAAAATATAAAAATAATGAATACTTAATTAGAAAATATAAAATATTTGAATCCTGAGCAAAATTCTTTTAAGCGGAAGTCAAATTTGCTAGAGACTTCAAAAATTTAATTAAACATTGCTAACATTTCTTAATTGTTTTGCAAGATAATTTTTTGTTTCTTAATTTCAGTTTGTCGACAATGATATTTCATTCTAAATTCAAGGGATGGTGCATACATATATAGTAACTATCTTTTTGGATGAATTTTGACCTCATTTTGATTCCGTACATGGAAATTGGAGAATCAAAAAGACAAAATATATGAAAACAGAGGACATATATACCCATAGGAAGGACCCTATAGAGGAAAGGATGAGAACACGACTACGGACAAACACCAGCAAATTTTTGGTAGTTTATCGGATGGATGATAACGAAAGACAAATCACTGTCTTTTTTTTCTTAGGGGGATTCATAAATTGTGGTTTGAAAGGATTTCAATGGGGCTTGGTAGGTAGGGGACTCCCTCTCCTGGAGGCCACCCCTTTTTAACAACAATACATAAAACATCATACTTCCATGGACCACTTTGTAGATGAAATTTCGTGTACAATTATTGTAAGCAAAAGACAAAAAGTGACATCACTGATTGAGGGACATGATGCCTTTTCCAACATCACCCACAGGTTGTACAAATTAGTGGAGGGTCAAAGATCTTTCTTACCCTTTGAAGAAAATTTCATATGCATGATTATTTGTTGAGAATATAACTGTAAGTCTAAATCATATTGAATAAAAATAGTAAGTAAAATATTATATAAAAATAAAAAATTCATTAATTTATAGTCTTAAAGTTTTAGATAAAAAATAATGTTTATTCTTATATAATTAGAATCATATTTTATTGATATTATATTTCTCCTATTCGATATATTCAATACTATGATTGATCACGGATTCAATAGGCTAAGAATCATTATAAGTCACCAGTGTGATTAATCAAGGTTTCCAATGTTGTCGTCAACAGTGTTAGTCATTGTGTTTTGTGAGT